CTAGGCAAAGTCGAAGCTGCGGTTAACTCCGGAATAGACTACCTTTTTGGACGAAACTTTGAGTGAAATTCAATTACTTTAAGAGGCATAGCCATATCATTGTGTGAAAATTAAATTGTAAGTTTCTATCGTCATATGCCACCAGGGGTGACTGTAAATCTTAACTGAATAAAAGCAGGAAAATTAATATTCGCAAAAGGTTTAAGAAAATTTATAAACTTGGATAAATTCTTACGAGATATTTCAATCATCATTAAAAATCAAATTATGATTGCGAAAGAAATTTGTGCATAGTAAATAATTCAAACTTAGTAATTGGGTTTGAATTTACCATTGCATATTGTTAGCATTATTATAAACCTATTTAAGCCTTCACTAGCACTCGTAATTTTCTAAATATTTATATTCTTTATTATAATATACAAGAGTGGCTTCAAATTAAATAGGTTAATATTATTAAATGTATTTTATAAGATTTCAATTTAGCCTTACTTCCTGCTCGGTAATGAATACCACTTGATGTGTTTATATCCAGAGGTTTGAATACAGTGACCGGAAAAGACGTTTCTAGCTCGGTATCTGAAAATTGCTGATTAGTATCCATGCGTGCACCTCGTGCCATCTTTATTCGTTGGCCAATGTTCAAAGTTAAAATGTCATTTTTGACATTTCCTTCATTAAAACCATCAATACTTGGTTCCATTTCCCGATCGAGTGGTTGATTACTTGGAGGATTATCAGATTTATCGTTATTTACAGGGGCTGGTGCCAGTTCAGCTTCACTCTCAATTACTGCTTCAACTTCTATTTCTCTCCTTCTGACCTTAACCGGAGCAATTAGTTCACGCGATAGCTTGATCTCAGGCCGTGCAGGTTGCAAATCACTTTCCGGGACTAAATGAAGCGGAGGCATGAGGTAACTGGCAGGGTTAACAGGAGCTGTCAAATACGATAAAAGCAAAGACAATAAAGATTTACTGCTATACAAATTATACAATTTTTCCAATATAACGAAATCCTTATTATAAGCTAGCTCTAATATTTATTATTAAGGCTAAAGTGATTGAAAACGACCTAGCTGTATGAATGGTGGCTCTATTAAAATAAAAAGTGGCAACCTCATGCAATGAGAATATATGATTATGAGGTCTTATAAGTACATTTCTTGAGCTTTTATTAAAAAAAGGCAAATTGAAGGACGTCAAATCTTCATTTATTTTAAAAATTTATTAAATTATTAATGAACTGTTAAGTTTATAGATAAATGACAGAAATTCAGGAAATAATTCTGGTTTCTATATTCAATGAAATTAAAAGGTGATGTCGGCGATTGCCTAAAAATTGAAAAGAATAATATAATAAAAAATGCAAAGAAATTAGGTGAAATTCGTCTTACGTCCACTCTTAAGTGGCATCCAAAACAATAATCCTGTTCCATCAAATACACGTTGAAGTATTGCTGATTTATGAATAGACTGAAGTTCATTTTCAAACGCCTCCGAAATGCTGAAAAAATTTATAAGTTTCAATAAGAAAGTTATAAACAAGACTTGTTCGACAAATATGTACAATTGAAGAATATCTATATATTCTTTAAATATCTAGTATTAAATCATTTATTCCAAAATAAGTCAATAGAATAATGCATTATTAAATACAATAAAGTTTAAATTAATCGAACATTAATAAAATGATTGAAACATATATGCAGACCCTTGTTATTCTTAGCAACACGCTACAACTCATCAAATAGACAAGTGAGGTTGATATTTGGACCAAAAGTCAACTAAAAAGTTGTAATATCTCTCCTGCCGTGGTATCACAATTTACTATATGTTTATTTAGACCTAGTTCAGGTGTGACTTTTTAAGCAGATTTAGTTGGATCTATGTACACTCCCTACGGATTCTCCCATTTCTCCCACTGTGCTATAGTTAACGATACAAGTCTGTCCCTTAAGTCCCTATTCCTCATCTCCTAGGTCCCATCGGAGTCTTCCTTTTTGGCCGTGAATTCACTCGAGCACTGCCAACATATTCATGCTATTCAAGGCATTATATTCTACACTCCGCCTCAAGCCTTTGATATCACGTATATGCCATATTCACTGAGCAGGTCCTTAAAATCTCGACTCTCAAGCTGGATAGGAATGTAACTTGAGGCATGCACAACTGACGGATCTGGTTGTCAATCCTTAACTTCGTGAACCAGGTTTATCATCAAACTCATCTACTGATAGCCAAATAGCTATGGCTTACATCGCATCTCTTACTCGTCTATCCATAATGCAAAATCTATCACTTTTATACGCCAAAGCTGCTTGGATGCCGACCTCAAAATGTGATAGTTTTACCTTATTTGAGTAGGCTCTCCGTAGACATGTCAGCCTGGTTTTCGATTGCTCGTCTCTGATATCCTTGAGATTTCTTTTTCTTTAAACTGGAAATATTTCTTTGATTTAATCATCTGCTTTTTACTGATCTTGCTGGTCCCTGTTCTTCTATCATCTCACTTAGGCGATTCGCAAAATTTTTGCTAATCCTGCCTGCTTCAAGTCCCCGCTTTATCAGATTTATTTAATTTTTCACATTAAGTATTGTTTCGAGACTACCAGTAAATGAGTAGTATGAGATATATTCACCCTATTTCGTTTTAGTTGATGAAAGACTGGTAGAAGAAGAATGTTCCCAAAATGTGAAATTCATTGGAAACGTCAGCTAAGCTTATATCATTGTGGGAAAATTCTTCTTCTACCAGTATTTCATCACCTAAAACGAAATTATGTGAATACATATCAGATTTATTTCAGTCAGAATATTGATGATCCATCGAATCTTACGTTTTCTTGAATTTTTACCATATACAGATACCTTTCATATCGATTTACGGCATATTATATGCCCCGTCCTTGTGTTGTGTTCCGTTTTTTCTGATCTTTTTTGCATCCATGCTTCTGCAAACTCCTTGATGTTACTTCATTCGTGGACTAATTTTCTCCTTATTTTACCATTATATTTCTGCTCTTAGTTGCCGCATTTGATTCGATAATCTCATGAGCAATCTAGTTTCTCAACCTTGCGTTGATAAGTTAGCAAAGATTGACGTCATATCCGTAAGTATCACCTGAATATTCAATTTTTTGGTAGCAGTCACAATTCTTGACTAAATTTATAGGAAGTTAGGCAAATCCACTTTTATATATAAGCAGAATTTTAACACTACCATTAAATTAGTTATATGAGATGAATTCATCCTAGTTTATTTAAGGTGATGAAGTAGTAGTATAATTTTTCTACAATTATATGAGTAGTCTCGAAACACTGATTATATAAGAAAAATAAATAATGTAGTCGATTGTCATGGCAAAAAATTGTTTGCTTCATCGACAATCCCCCCGGCTGGGGGTGTTGATAAGACCGATGTGAGGTCGAAACTGAAGTCCACCCTAGCCGGGATGAGAACGACTTTTGGAAGAGCAAGACTCTGTGAGATCCAATGAAAATGTCAGCTTTACTCATATTATTATATGAAAATTCTACTACCAGTCCTTGATTACTTTAGACGAAACAGGGTGAATACATCTTATGTATCCTATTCATGTCTTCCTTCCGACTTATGATGTTATTTTCATGATATCCTATTTGTAATCTTCTCTTAATAACCCATATATGTATTTCCAGGAATTTTCTGTAGTACCCTCTAATGAGAAAATCCGGGTCAGTTTATTCAGCTAGTCACCTCAGAACTC